ATCCTTCCTTCAAGCTTTGTGATTAGAAACTTAAAAATCCTTCCTCACAAGAAACAAAACTTAAAAATTTTCATTTACATAACTTCTTCTTTCATTTAAGGTGGTGATCCCCTCTATAGATAAGATAATTCTTTTAAAATAAATATAATATATTTTAATTCTAACATCTTAAAAAAATTAATTTTTTAAAATCTAAATGATATCTTAAATATTTAAATTTAAAAATTTAAATTATTTTTTCAACATATATTTCGGATGAAAGTTTACCAAAGTTTTACCATGGAACAGTACTTGTCATCATAATTGAGTTTAATTTTGATCTCCTCTTTTTTATTGTCCTTATTCCTTATATATCTAAATTAAGTCTTATTTCCCTTATTACTCAGAAAAGATATAAAAAAAAGTCTTTACATGAAATAAAATAAAATTTTGCATGCATTCTTGCTCAATTTCTGTATGTATTGCGTATATGTTAAATAAGTCATAATTTATGTGTTTAAAAAAATAAATTAAAGAAAAAAATGCACTGTGTTAAAAAAATAATTCAAATTTTTAAATGCAATTTTATGAGATACTATCTAAATTTTAAGAGATATTGATTCTTTTAAGATATTGTTCACAATCAAAATATATTATATTTATTTTCTCTTTTATGAATGAGAATTTCTAAGTTTCACTCATAGAATTTATGAAGGAGGAATTTTCAAGCTTCACAAAACTTAGGAAGGATTTTATATATATTTGTAATACATTTTAATAGATAATGCACATTCTTATAAACATAAATAAATTTGTGTAATTTTTTTTATTTAATTATTATTATAGTGTTGTTTTAATGTATCTCTCATTAGTATTATATATATAAAAAGATATTTTTGTTGCCAGCACCTTATTGTTCCAAATTCAAACCGACTGGCTTGTGCATGGTATAGCGAATCATGGTTTTCTCAGTAGAAAATCACAAATTTGGGTAAGGGCAGACCTTAAGTTCCAAATGTTTGCTAACCTGCTCCAGGTGGTGCACCTGCCAGCCAATATACAGATAATGAGAATTAAAGATTTTTTCAATCAAGTTTGAATTTTTGAGTTTGGAATCGCGACTTTTCTACTGCATTTTTATTTACCTATTTTTTTTATTTCTTTTTTATTTTCTTCTATCATTCCTTAACTTTCACAAAGTTTGATTCATTTTATCATTGAGTGAAAAGTACGAAAAGAAATTGCACTTATTTTTTGTTTTGTTTTGCTTACGTAGATTAATTGATTAAAGATTCATGTTTTTTTTTTCTTTTATAAAACATGTTAGAGATCCTCTATTAGAGATATGTCCATTATAGAAAATATAAGTGCTGAACAATTTTTTCCAAGTTAGACTTACAACACATTTTCTTAAAATAGTATAAGAGTTATCTTAAATTCATATTAGGATTATATCCCATTTTTACACTCATCATACAACTAGATAGGTAGAAAATTAACCTGCATAGCACAAAAAGGACCGAAATAAATCTATCGATGTAATTTTTTCATCTTTGAGATATTGACAAAAGAAACCATAAACGGATGAAAAGGAAATTTGATAAAAATGGAAGAGGATTTGTGCAAGATCGAGGAAAAATTGTGCCAAGTTGCAACTAGTATTATCTCCATGAATGAAAGGTTGACAAGAATTTCATTCTTCTCTTCTTTTTTTTTTTTTTATAAATGAAAAGTTACAACAATTACTCATTAAGACAACCAACCTTTCGGTAATATACCCAAGAAAAAAAAATACTAGAAAGAAAACATACCTGCATTGAGCACGAAACTCTCCCTGACCCATGACATATGCATTAATTTGATATTAATATTTCTATTTCAAGAAGGTGAAAGCCTCTATTAGATGATGTTCAGGAGCGGTCTCAATCTTGAAGCAAGAATTTACCACAGTCATCATAAAGCACAAATCTTGGCTGAGCCGTTCATGATCAAATTTACTCCAATCCAACTCCACCACAACAATTGCTCGACGGACACATTCCCAAAGGTGGCCCAGTCGGATGACACTTTCACCACGTTGTACAACTTCACGATGGTTCCAATGCATCCATCATCTTAGTTCTTCCGATTGATTCACCTTGAGTCGAGCTACCACCACGATATATAGACAATAGTAAATCTTTAGATTATTGTTTATGAATGTTGAAAATGAATATGAACTCGTCAGACTTAAGCACTGTGGATTTATTTGTTGACTTTTACAAATTTGTGAGATAATAAGATCTTTTCGGTACTAGATCTTATCTACATATTCTTATACAAGTTTTTAAGATACAACAAGATCTATTATTAGTATACAACAGGATCGGTGCTTCATGTTTCTGACTCTTACTAAATTTCAATACCGTGGTACCTTTAATTAATTATGAAAATTAAAATTAATTAATTTTAAAATATTTAATCATTAAAATTATAACATTCAAATTATTATAAAACTAATACTAATACAAGTAATTAATAAAATAGTTATTTTGAATTTAAATTTAAATTTAAAATAATTTCATGAATAAAGTGTGACTCTATACAAGACAAAAATCAATCACTAATTTCTTTAAGAATTTTTAATGAAATTACAAATTGTTTATTATGTTCTCAAGGTAAGTATGTATAAAAGGATATAAAGTACACAAGAATAACCAAATTTAATCCTAAGTTCTAGTCCGGAAAACCAAAGGAAATTAACCAGTTGTGTTATCTTACTAAGCGGGTTATAAAGAATTGAAATTCCATGAAGAATGTTGAACAAATAGTATGCTAGATTCAGTCCAACAAGGGTATCAATTATGTTACTTAAGGCCTAGGGTTACCATTCTTCGAAAAAAGAAAACGAAAAGGGAAAATGCCAAATGTTAAAGCCATTGTTAATGATTTTGTGAAAATCTGCTTGAGGCCTAGAGTGGATCAAAGCACACTAAGCTCTCTGATGTAGGGGTGTTCATGGATTGGTTTTTTTTAAAAACCGATCCAAACCGAACCGAACCGTTTTATAAAAATGGATCGGTTAACTGATCCATTTTTTATAAAGTGGATCGGTTTGGTTTTCTTAAAATATGAATTGGTTTTTTTGAAATTGGATCGGTTCGGTGCGGTGCAATTATCCACTTTTTTACTCATATATGGATCGTTTTTTTAGAAAATCAAACCGAATCAAACCGATCCACTTTGTAAAAATAGATCGGATAACTGAACCGGTATTATAAAATGGTTCAGTTCAGATTTTTTTTCAAAATTGATCGAATTTTTTAATATAGATCGGTTCGAATCAATTTGGATTTTTTTCACACCCCTACTCTGATGGCTAAAAGAGAAAAAGAAAGAAGGACAAGATGAGAGAAAAAAGAAGAGAAAGAAAAGAAAAAGAAAAAAAAAGGTATTGATTAAAGACATTAAGCTCCAAAACTCGCCTATGCATCTTTCCTAGAGGTGAGTGCCTCGTCCTTTTCCTCCATTACTCCTTTGATTATCGTGTTTTTTTTCTGTTTTCCCTATTTTTGGCCCCAAAAAAGGATTTTGAATGATTTTGAGAAATTGAGGAGTTTATGGAGTTGCTTGAGAATTTAGAGATGCAATAGGTATGATTTGAGAGTGGTTGGGGATATGAATGACTCCAAGGAATGAAAATAAGTTACCCTCACAATTTGTAGATATCACGATTCTTTATAGAAAGAAAATCCTCGTTAAACTGGTATAATTTTTTGAGTTAAGTGATAATTTAACTAAGAACAGTAAAGATACACCAAGTGAGAATCGCACAAGATATTAGTGATAACTCATAATTAATAATTAGATTAAGTAAGAAATATTGTAACGCCTAGATTTTAGATCATATATGTCTGTGATATTTTAATGTTTTGATTAAATAATATGTAATTTGAAATTAATGGCAGGAAATAAAAGAACTAGGGTTTTAGTCTCTCTCGATAAGCATGACTTTAACCACACGAAGCGAAAACTATACTCCTTCTAGACAAGGAAGTAATAATAAGTGTCAGGAGTACGCGTTAAGCGAGACATTTTGAAATAATAGTGTTATCCCATCTTATATATTTATATATATATATATATATATATATATATATTCATGCATGTGCTTTCTATGCTCGCTAAAATGACAACGCATTAATAACATGTTTTAAACGATTTAAATTATAAAAATATTTATTTATTGAAAACTAATTTTTTTATGAAACTTCTATAAAAACAAACTATTATTAATATAGTGTGCATAAAATCATATGTTTAAATTTTGTTGCCATTTTTATAACTTCTATAGATTAAAAAAAAAATGACCGATCAAATTTACGCTAAATCAAAAGTGTCATCAACACTAACTAGATTTTTGAGACATAGAACAATATAAATCAACGTATTAATTACATGCTTAACTCAGTTTAAATTATAAAATATTTCTTTATTAAAATTTAATTTTCTTATGAAATTTCCATAATAAATAAATTATTATTAAAATATTATCAACACCATCTAGGTTTTTTGGTCATATTACTGTCTTTCTAATTTCTATAAATAAATAAAAATGACTTCGATCAAATTTATGCTAAATCAAAAGTGTCATCAAGTAACTTGATTTTTGAGATTTGGAACAATATAGAGGGAGATAAACAATCAGGAGCAATCATTAACCATGAACATTCAAAGATGTCATTAATGAATTATTCTTATCGTGATCGACTGCTTTGATCTCGATCAGTCCTCGTATCTATTTATTTTCCTTTGAACTGGTAGTTTGTTGAAGCTGAAATGAACTGCAACAAAAAATATATATCTTTTTTTATAAATCAAGCATAGTTAGGCTGTTTTCACTACTGCATTTTAATTTTTTAACCATTTTTTTTATATTTATTAAAATATTACTTTATATTAAATAAATAGATTATTTTACAATATTTTTTTTAAAAAATGTTGCTATAAATAAAGTAACATCTTTTATTTTTATATTATTTTTTTCAATCATTTTAAAAGTCAAAGTCTCATATCCAATAAAGAAAAATGTCACATAGGTTATTTAGCAACATTTTTTGAAAAATGTTCCTATAGATAAATAATATCTTTTCATCTCAACATTATCCTTTCTAATTGCTTTTAAAATCAAAGTTTTATATTGTATATAAAAAAAATATTTCTCTCATCTCTAATTGTTACCCATAATTAAAGTCTCATATCATATAAATGAATGACTCATAAAGAATATATATATTTATATAATTATACTTAAAATAAATTAACTTGGCCACGTGGACGCCACGTAGATGCATACGTGGCATCCACGTGGATGAGAATTTTTTTGAAAACACATGGAGCCAGAACGGCCCGTTCTGAAACCGGAACGGGCCGTTCTGGGTGCATTTTTGGTGTGTTAATTTTGCA